ACTGTAATTTTTGCTTTACTTTATTTTTCTCTTTTTACCTCACCTCAACCCACTCCAACTCCCCTTACATTGCTTTATTTCTTATCAATAAAGCTATCCCGAATTCGCTTGACTTCTTTTATTCATCAAGTTCAACCTCGACTTGAAACCATTGTTTCGTGACCAGTCAAGCGAATTCGGGAAAGGTCTATTATGTCATATTAATTTGACTTTGTTCTTTTCTCTCTTACTCTTTTTTTTTTCTTCACTTTTTAAGGTTAAGAAAGTTTACCGAAGGGCCGTGCTGTCAGTTCATCCTGATAAGGTTTGTGAAAAATTTCTTTTCCACATTATACAGACTATATTCAAGATTTCCTGTCTCCACTTCTTCTAGGGTTTTTACCTGAGTTTCTTTTTTCAACAGTTGACAGGACATCCACACGAAAGCCTTGCTAGAGCAATTTTCGTGGAACTGAACGAGTCATGGGCGCTGTTCGAAAGTAGTGGCGCCAAAGCGTTGTATTAAAACACAATTGAATCTAAAGCCCAGGCTTTGTAGACATTTATTGTCCAAATTTGGAACCTCTATTTAAGGAAAGACTCGCATCGGATCGGGGTCTTGATTCAAATTGTTAATGGTTTGCAACCAATGCCAAGAGAGTCGAGAGAGACAAAGACATGGCAGCCATTTTGGTGGTATTAACAAAGAAAGCTAATGAGAATATTTCCAAGATGGCCACGGTGACGTCACGTGCAATCAAAATCCGCTGACCCAAGGTCAACGCTGTGCGTACCACAGGGTTCCCAAATTTAATATTCTTCACCGTACCAATAAATACACTTTTAGACAGTAGAAATTGTAATTTAGACTTCCACAAAATTGTAAGCAAATTAAAAAGGGAGATTGGCATACCCTTTGTCAGTTATTGTTTAGTTATTTCAATTTAAGAAAATGTTAGATCGTTTAATAAAAAGTAAAGGCAAATCTTTGTTTTAATTTTTTTGTCATTTACGTAAAATGAGATTCGAATCACAAACACATCAGAAAATGTCGTTCAAAATAGAATATCGCATTTCAATTAGTAGTATCTGAAGGTTTTTGAGCAGCATGTAGAGTAATTTTGGAGCAATGGGTGTTTCAGTAATAGCAAAACTGGGGATTGCAATGATTGTATACAATGTGACAGGTCTGCGCATGCGTGTATTTAGCACGTTTCGAATAATTCAAGAGCGTTTTAGAGAGATACTAAATCTTCGTTTTCTACAGTATATAATGTATAGGCATTATTTTTGGGTATTTCGTAAAGTCCGTTAATTTGTCAGACAAGTTTAAAAGTCAAATTTACATACCCTGCAACAGCACGAGGACGTTTACAAATGATTTGCATAAGGAGTTAGAGGATGCTCAGACTGCCGGCGTTTTTCACTCGTTTCTTTCATAATCTTGCAAAATTTAAAAGCGATATATCAAAAATATATTTTATTAAATATTAACCTCTGAATATTTTTTTATGATTAATGAGATTCAACTTATGCCAACGAAGCGAAATTTAGTTAATGAGTCGTTAATGACCTCAACAAAGATTTGCCTTTACGAAAAACGATAGCCGCCATGTTGGTTGGTTGTTTGGCGCGAAATTAATAAGTCACGTGATACTATAGATATTTAATTTTTTTCGGTATTGACCCAATGCATATTTATAGCCTTTGGGTTAATAGCGAAGTGTACCTCGTGCTTTCAGTATTTTGTAATCAATAAGTAGATATTTTTTATAAGCTTGGGCTCCCTTTACCCCAAGATGGCTATCATGTAAGTAAGTAGTGTAGGCCCCTCTCAAAATCTTAGGAAAAACTTTTTGAAATCTTTAAAATACAAAAGGAAAGGCACCAATTCTATCGAGTATAAGTGTTTTTTCTTTTGCATTTCCATATTTTGAGGGTGTGAGTACACTTAGATTGACGCTTAGATTAGCTAGCTTTTTAAGTAAATTCACAAATCTGTTTTCAAGACAAAAACATCACGAACCAATCCTAGATGTATCATTGTATTATTTATTTGATTATTTGTACCATGGGTAAAAAAATTCGGGAACTCAATAAAACTAAACAAATAAAAAACCTTATTAACGAGTTTGTTTGATTTGTTGATCTGTGTTGCTTTTGATTGTATAATACACACTACAACACACACTGCACTACACTACAATACACTGCACTACA